TACTGAATAAGAAGACCTAGGACACTAAACCTTTAGGATATTAAAACATATTGTAAGGAAGAACCTCTGGAATGATGGTATAAGGAGCTTGGTGAACTCTCTACCTAGCAAAACAATAATTTCACTGATGAAGAATTAAAAAAAACAACAACAATCATATAAAGCTCTGGAAATTGTCCCAAGGGCAAAGGAGAAAATATCATTTAAGTAAATCTACTAATCATCAAAATTAAAAGACTTTAAAGGACAGCATCAGAAAAATAAAAAGACAGCTCACAGAATGAGAGAAAATATTTGCAGATCATGTATCTGATAAAGGAATTTTATCCAAGATATATGAAGACCTCTTATAATTTAATAATAAAATCCACTTGAAAAATGGACAAAAGATCTGAGCAGAGACTTCTCTAATTTTCAGTAAGAGCTGTGAGAATCTGTGGCATTTGAGTGATGTTCTGTTCCATAATCCCCTTTGCACCCTGCTCCCTGTTACAGAAGCTGTACTCTGGGCGGCTGTAGCCAAGAAGATGGGCGCTTCCTTTCTCCTTGGCTTTCAGGCTGGGGCTATGTTTTCTTCCTGGGAGAGGCAAACTGCTGGAATATCTCATCCCTTAGAGCCCTGTGTTGCAGCAATTCTATTCCAGGCAGGCCTGGGTGAGAGGACCAGATTGCTCTTCCTCCACCCAGACCTCACTTGTAATGTAGAAGCTCTACCCCAGTCTTGGCAGGCCAAGAAAATTGGTGGGGCCAACTGCTCCTGTCCCAGAAGACCAGGGATTGCAACCCCCCAATGGCTACTTAGAGAACAGAATTGTTGCTGTGGAAAAAGTGGGTCTCCACCCCCAAGTTTGGATTTGGGTGGCATAAGTGTTCTGCCCAGGAGGAAAGGCAGGCTGGTTTTAAGGGGAAAGAGTCTCCTCTGCTTGAGGAGACTGAGCTTACTTGGACTAGAGAGTGGAGAACACATTGAAGGGCATTGTGGAAAACAAGACAAATCTTGGTGAAGAGCAATTAAGAGAAACCTGGTACCTCTATGATAGAATAAAATAACCCGGAAGCTAGAAGTTTAAAAGAGAAAACTAGAGAAAGAGACAGGCAAGAGGAGCCCTCACGGGGTCGCAGCTGAGTGGGGGGTTGGGAAGGCTATGTGCATGTGGTAGGCTGCATCCATTCAGGAGCAATCAAAGCAGGATGTGGGGCAGACCTGAAAGCATGCCCCAAGCTACATGCAGATGCATCAACAGAGTGGAAGCCTCACTGGCACAAAGGCCTTACACACAACCAAAGACTGACTGAATCTTAAATAATATACTACAGTCATCCCTAACAGTCTGTCAGGCTGTGTGCATGCCCATGGACCCACTGCCCTCTCGGGTATTAACATAAAGTGAGGTGTGGTTAAAAGAGATTGCTGTGAATAACAAAACACATCCCTTTCACCTTTATGACTCTGAAGTTATTTCAGGAACTGGGAACAAAACTAAATATTATAATAAAAGATGGACTTGTGGCTCTTAGAAAGGAAATTACAAGGGTTTTAGGAGCTATGTGCCAGGAACCATGGATGAAGACCAGATCTATATTTCTTACTATAAATCAAAATATCACAGTATGTCAAATCAGTGTTTTATTTTTTTTAAAGATTTTATTTATTTATTTGAGAGAGAGAGAGAGCAAGAGAGCACAAGCAGGGGGAGCTGCAGAGGGAGAAGCAACCCCCCACCTCCCTGAGCAGAGAGCCTGATGCGGGGCTTGATTCCAGGACCCTGGAATCATGACCTGAGCCAAAGGCAGATGCTTAACCACCTGAGCCACCCAGGCACCCCCAAATCAGTGTTTTAGAGATGTAAATTATCCCAGAGTTTTCACATAACTGGATATACATAAGAGGAAATAATACAACTAAGTCCCTGCCATATTGCTTATATTAAACAAATTCTAGATTGATCAAAGAACCATAAAAAAAAAGGTGAAAAAGCACTGGAAGAAAAAGAGAATTAAGTATTTTATAATCTTGGAGTAAAGAAAGTCTGACACAAAATCTAGAAGTTCCAAAACAAATTATTGATAAATTTGGTCACTTAAAAAAATTCAATTTTGTTTTTATGAATATAGTTAGAAGGCGAGTGACAAATTGGCAATAATGATTTGCAACATGTATGACAAAGGGATTTTTTCCATAATTTAGAAAGGACTATTGTAAATCACTAAGGTTAATACAGACAATGTAGTGTAAAAATGGGCAGGTGATGTGAAAAGGTGTTCACAGGAGAAAAGGTTCAGGTGGCTAGTCAACATATGAAAAGATCCTTAATCTTAGTTAAAATTAAAAAAATGCACATTAAAATAAGTTGCTAATGCTTACCATTGGGAAGATAGTGAGAAATAAGTACTTACACTGTATGTGGTAGTGTATATTGGTAGGACTCTTTGGAGAGCAATTTGGTAATAATTGTCTGAAAATAGGTGTACATACCCTTTTACCCATCAGATCTATTTCTAACATTTTATTGAGTAGGTATGCTTGCATGTTTATGCAAAGATATACGAGCACACATACAAGGATGTTTATTGTACTATTATCACTAATAGCAAAAAATACTGGAAATTTTAACAGTAGTGGACTGGTTAAATTAATTAATGGTACATCTAAACAATGGAGGACTATGAAACTAAAAAATAAGATGTGGAACGATGTCAAAGGCAGAATAAGAATAGAAAAGTAAATTATCTAGCAGCATGTATATTATGATCCTATTTGAATTCACAATTATACATATGTACTCTGTATTTTATATAAAAACTGTGATTTAACTATTGCTTTTGATACTCGTTTTATATAAAAGCTGTGATTTAACTATTGCTTTTGATACTCGGTATTGGCTAGGTTCTGAGAATACACTGAGGAGGACAAAAACCCCACCATATCTCCCCTCATGGAGCTTAAATTATATGAGATGGACACTAACAAAAGACCGATTCAAATACATGTAGAACCATGACTGTGATAATTGCTGTGAAGAATCTAATAGAATTGATATCGTCAGGGAGGTGAAGTGGATAGCTTTTCTGAAAAATGTGATTGTAGAATAGACATCTAAGAAAGCATTATTCGTTTTATATGTTTTAAGGATATAATTTTGTCCTGTATTATCTCTTCTCCCATTTCTTCTGGATCTGTAAGTACTCTTTCACTAGTGCTTTCACTTCATCGGCTTTTAGAGACAATTAATTAATTAATTTGACAGAGAGAGAGAGAGAGAGCGAGTGCGCACAAGCAGGGGGAGCGACAAGCAGAGGGAGAGGGAGAAGCAGGCTCCTTGCCAAGCAGAGAGCCTGATGCAGGACTTGATCCCAGGACCCCAGGATCATGATCTGAGCCAAAGGCAGACGCTTGACTGACTGAGCCACCCAGGTGCCCCCACCTCATCAGCTTTGAAATACGCTTGAGTTTCTCATGTACTGAAAAAAACAAAACAAAACTCTTCTTCAACCTCATCCTTCTTTCCAGTTACTTCCCTTTATTTCTCCTTCCCTTTTTACCAGGAAGGGGTTGTCTAAACTTCCTATTTCCACTGACTTATCTCTCACTCAATTAGGACAAAAAAAAATTCAGGCTTACTGTTTCTTCAACCTATTCCAGTCTGAGTTATAACAGATTTCATCAAGGTCACCAACGACCTCTAAGTCCATTGAATACTTCTTAGTCTCCATTTTGCTTGAATATTCTGTGACATTGACATAATTAACAATGCTGTCCTTCAAGTGTTCTCGGTTTTCATGACACTATACTTTTCTGTTTTTCTTCCTCTTTTTTCAATCTGCTTTGCTCGTTTTTTCTTTTCTAACTTTTTAAAAATTATATTCAGTTAGCCACCATGTGGTGGTACATCATTAGTTTTTGATGTAGTGTTCAATGATTCATTAGTTGCGCTCTGGAGTTCCTTAAGGCCTTGTCCTAGGCTCTTTTCTCTTCCTGCCAAACGCTCTCCAGGCAAGCCTCAGGTAGTATCTGTAGGTGATGCCCAAACCCATTCCTGACTTCTCTTCTGAGCTTTGTACCATTATGTCCAGCTGCCTCCCATATTTTTCTATTTTATTTGTTCTTTGTTAATTCGAATATATTTATTTCGGACCTCTTATTTGCCTTGCATTGTGCTGGTACTGTGAGTGTCTTAAAGGTATTTCCAATGGAATGTGATTGAAACAGAATTCATGATTTTGTACTCTCTGCCAAAAACAAGGAAGTAAATAAACAAAAACACCCAAAATAAGACCTCTACCACCACTGTTCTCACTGTGCTACTGAAATCTGCCAGTTCTTCTAGCCTGAAACTTGGGATCACTCTTGACTCTTCCTTTTACCTGAGCATCTACCCAACCTCATCAATTCTATCCCGTCTGATCCAATTAAATCTAATCCAATTTAATCCGATCAGTGTAGTCTAACCCAATGCAGTGTCACCAAGGGCCTGGCTGTTCCATCTTCTAAGTATTCTGGCCCCCCCCCGCCCCCCCGCCTGCCGTTTCCTTTTCACAGCCCAGACCCTAGCCTACGCTACCGTTACCTCCTGAGTAGACCTCTGCGGTTCCTTCTGCATGGTCATACTGTATGCACTTTTGACCACCATCTGGCAATTTGCCACGTACTGCAACCTTGATCTTTTAAAGTGTTTCCTAATTCCTCTTTGTCTCAGTTTTCTTATCTGTAAAGTTGGGATAATAATAGCCCTTCCTTCTTGGATTGCTGTGAGGATAAAAAGGATTATTATGTATAAAACAGTGCCAGGCACTAAGGCGTCAGTATATTGTTACCGAAACCTTATACAGAGTTACATTAAACCAAGTAAAAGGTCTGATTAAGACAGAAGGAGGTTTATTAATAATGGATTTGAATGGAGAAATTTTTAGCTTGTTAACAGTGCTATATATGCTCACACAAATCTGCAGCTCTTATAATACGTGACCTTATTATGTGTAATTGTTTTCTTAATTAAAAGGCTAAGAAGCACCAGGCCTTTCTAGTAGAGACATGTGAAAATAACGTGAAAGAATTGGAATCGATCTTGGACAGCTTTACTGTGTCGGGCCAGTGGACATCAGGTTAGTTGAAGGTATAAAATGACAGATGCATCTGTCAATGTTCCAAAGTCACTACATTTTGGGAATTCTGCAGATGTCTCTTACAGTCCCTCATCTCAACATGTTTCGATTTGATGACATGATAAGAGCAGTTCTCACAGCAGTCAGTTGGCCTAGCTGGCTGAGAAAGGGTGGCGGAATGTGGACCTGCTGTTGTCCTCGCAGAACTTGATTTACAAGTGTTGGGGTCTGCATGATTGGACAGACAAGGGCTCACTTGCTGTGTTCTGAATCCAACTGAGAAAAAAGTCCTTACAGTGTACCTGCAAGGGGAACAGATGTTTCCATCAAACTGAGCCAAATTCTGAGGCAACCTTCAACAACTTAAAGGTCATGCATTCAAAAGGTCGGGTAGGACAGAGCCTGTAACACAGTGAATATGCTAAGCTGGTTTCCTCCTTCACTTCCTACTACCACACAGAGACGCTCCAGAGAAGAGTGCTTAGGTAAAACGTTTGCGTTTTAGTATTAGCACGGTTAATAAGATAAAGAACTGCAAAAATTGTATCTTAGGTGGGCTCATTTGGGGAACTATCAGAAGCACTAGCTGGTTAACAAATACTCTCCATGATTTCTACTTCCTTAATTTTTTTGGTGTATATTCCATTACTTGTGTAATAGTAGCTTTGACCTAAATACTTTTCCTTCTCTATCTCAATTTTCTTTTGCCATACCGTCAGCCTTGATTGTTTAGTTGTTTTCTGACTCAGTTGTACTCTTCAAAAGGCATGTAAAATTAAATTCATTACACTTTAACACTGAGCTCCTGGACTCTGTTTTTTTAAGGAATCAAACAGATATTTGGCACGCGTGAGTTATAGAAAGTGTGTTGTGCTTGAAAAAGCAGAAGGATATGATCAAGGCCCCTTATTACTTTATGGGTCTGCAGATTTGTGCTGGTGAACTGTTAGAAATTTAGTGTGTTTTGCTACTATCTGTTTTTTTGGGTCTATTTTTATCCTTCATACTAGTTTAGCAGTCATTTCATGAAATGAACTTGTAACTTTTCTTAAACTTTAAACTTTTACCCAAAGCATTAGTGTTTCGTGGTTTGTTACGGTGGAAAAACCAAGGTGTATAAGGGTGACATAAAAAATATAGAATCCAGTGTTCAATTATATTTGCTAAACCTTTGGAGGATAAAATTTTCTTTTGCAACGGTACTGTTTTATTATTGAGATGTGTCATTGCTTAATGGTGTTAGGAACTTTAAAAATTGTTAAATTATTATCATAGTATATCTTATACTTCAGTGTTATTTTAAATGTTTCTTCAGAGCTGAATTAAAAAAAATAAAAATACTGCCACATCTCTTTTGAATTTTAGAATGCAATAGTTGATAAAGCAACTCACAGGCTATTGCTAAGCCTATAGAAGAAGAAAGACTCTTAAAGTTTTTCTTTTTCATCTTTTAGTAACCATCCTTTTTAAACTCCTAGCTTCCCATATATAGGCACAGCCTATATATTATAGAGAAAGTGTTTCTGGAAAAGGGACTGTATGGTGAATTAGTGATTTTTGTATTGCTGTAGAGTGGTTTTTGTTTCCATATGGTACCGGTTATTCACTCTTTCACCCACCGAGAAACATTGTTCTCTGATCTGTTTAATGGAAGCCCAGGGCCAGAGTGAAATCGGGTCTCAAGCAGGTAAGCGTGTCAGGCAGCGTGCCAGCAGGAAGAGATGGCACTCTCTGAAGAGAATGTAATCAAGATATTTATGGAAATGTGGACAGGATAAGAGAACCAATAAGGTAGGATAAGACAGGGGCGTTCAGTCGGTTACGCATCCGACTCTTGGTTTCGGCTCAGGTCATGATCTCATGGGTCATGGGATTGAGCCCCACATCAGGCTCTGCGCTCAGTGGGGAGTCTGCTTGAGATGCTCGCCCTCTGCCCCTCCCCCCACTCGTGTGCACGTGCTCGCTCAAATAAATAAATCTTAAAAAAAAAAAAGGTAGGATAAGACCGCGAGAACAAGCCAGAGTGGGAAACCAATACCACACCTGAGCCTACAGCATGCAGTGGAGGGCACACTGTCACCATAGTCCAATACGAGCCACACTTGTGGAAGAGGACCTGCCTGACGAGAGCTATGGCTGCTGAAAAATGGGGAATGCACTGGAGCAGGGGGAACAGAGGAAATAAATACCCTAACCTTCTTTTCTTCCCTTTTCCTTCTTTCTTCTTCCACCCTCTTAATCTCCTGCAGGTGCACTCACTGTCCAAATCCAACCGGGAGGCAGAGGGCAGAGGAGCCCAGATCATGCAGTCTATAGAGGTCAGCCTTTACAAGCAAAACATTGTTTGTTAAAATAATTTAACAAAACCTGTCACTTCTGGAAATACCTTGATGAAATTCTCTTCTGATGAACTCTTCAGAGTGTGTCATCTCTCTTCCTGATGCACCCGGGCTGCTTAGGACCCGATTTCCCTCTGGCCCTGGGCTTCCACGAGACAGCTGTGTAAAACCCTAATGGACTCCCTTTCTGCTTACAGTCAGGGTGGGGTTTTATTACTTCATGGAGGGCTATAAATAATACGCTTCATTGCTTAATATTTTATGGAAGAACCTGCACAATTAAGATTGTCTGCCGTGTCAGGCCTGGCTCCACTCCACGAAGATGAACAAATATTTTGTTCCTCACAAATAAAGTCATGTAAAAACTTACCCTAGGCTAACTTACCTTGTGTGCCTGTGTGATAGAAACATGTATACATCTCACAGTATATATGTTTTTGAGAAAAAGTCTATTTCAAATAGGAACGGGGTGTTACCATGTGATGATAGGGCCGCCTTAGAATTTGTTACAAAATTAATTCAGTTACCTCCAGAAAGGTTTTCCAGAGAGATCCTCAGCTCTGCAGTATGGCCAGTAGGCAAACAGTGCTTTACTTCCTTTTATTACCTCGTCCTCCCTTTCAGTTCAAGATATGCTCTGTATCTACTCCCCAATTCAGGAAAAGCAATCCATGGTAGATGGTTGCAATTTTTTGTTTGTTTTTGTTTTTACTTGCTTTTTAAAATGGGATGAATGAAAATTGTTTTCTTGGGTGAATTTTAGTCCCGAGCTGATCGTAGCTGCCAGCTATTCTCTTCCCCATCTTCTTCAGCCTTGGTGGTCTTCCACGGTAAATGTTTGTGAAGCAACAGTAACCCCCCCGCTTATCTTCGTGTCGCAGATGAGGCAAAGTTTCAGTTATTGTAAGACCTTCAGGAATTTATTTACTTAGAGGATTTACCGGGATTTTCTCGAGGGTGATCAGTATGATAGTTCACACCTTGTTTCCTAGTGCTTCCAACACTGCTCTCTCCGACTCCCTGTTCTCTCCTTCCACCCTGCTCCCCCTGCAGTCTGTTTTCTCTGTAGCCACCAGAATGATCATTTGAAAACCCAAGTGAGAGCATGTTATTCCTTTGCTTTAAATCTTCTTGGGCTCTGCATTTCACTAAGCATAGAAGCCAAAGCGCTAGCAATGCCTTGCAAGACCCAATGTGGTCTGCCCCTATCCTTTATCACCCCTTTGACGTCCCGTTGTACCTCTCTGTTTCGGCCCCTCTGGCCTCCTGTTGTTTCTTGAGCACACCAAGCATGCTCTTGCCTCGGGGGCCTTTGTGCTGGCCATTCTTTCCACCTGGAAAGTTCCTCACTTAGATGTGTCTGCATGGCTCTCTCTCTCTCTCGTCTTTTTATTTTATTTATTTAAAAAAATTTTTAAAAGGTTTTTTTATTTTTTAAGTAATCTCTGCCCCCAATGTGGGGCTTGAACTCACAACCTTGAGATCAAGAGTCACATGCTCTACTGACTGAGCCAGCCAGGCACCCCTCTCTTGTCTTTGAAAATCTATGCTCAGATCTCACCTCCATGAAGCTTACCCGCTACTCATTCCCATGCCACTTGTCTCACTACCTCTTTCCCTTTTCTGCTCTACTTTTTTTCTTCCCCGAGCACTTGCTGCTGTCCAACATTTCTAACAGACTACACGGTGCATTTATTTTATCTGTGTTAGTCAGAATTCTCTGAAGAAGCAGAACCAGTAGGATAGATGTAGGAATGGCTGCCATGGTTATAGAGGCTGGGCAATCCCATGACCTGTCATCTGCAGACTGAAGACCCAGGAAAGCCAGTGATGTAATTCAGTCTGAATCCAAAGACCTGAGAACCTCGCGGCTCCCGGGGTCCGAAGGAGGAGATGGAAGACCCAGCTCAAGAAGAAAGAGAGAATTTGTCCTCCTTCCACCATTTTGTCTGTGATGGGGGGATAGGGAGGCAATAGGTTGCCTCACCACTCTGGTGAGGGCAGATCTTCTTTACTTAGTCTACTGATTCAAATGCTAATTTCTTTCAGAAACACCTTCACAGACACACCCAGAAATGTTTGCCAGCTGTCTGGGCATCCCTTAGCTCAGTCCAGTTGACACATAAAATTAATCCCCACAATATCTAAGCTCCAAGAGGGCAAGGATCTTTGTCCCTTTTATTTACTAATGTACTTTAAGCAGCTAGATCATTCCTTGCATAAAGCAGTCACTCAGCAAATATTTGTTGAATATTAATGAACAAAAGTGTGAATGAATTAATATCAAGTCAAAAGTCTAATTTGCATTTTAATTTTTGAGGTTATAAAGGTAGTCATGGAGTCCAAATTATAGCAGCCTTTTGGGTAGCAATCCATACGGAGTCATCAGGAAGATTGACCTTAAGTGGAAAAGATGTACAATCTTACATGGGCCATAGAAATGCCACCTGGATTATCTACTATCATTGGGCAAGATAGTCTCAATTTGCTTGAACAGGGACATTTATTTCCTAGTTCTGCTTCCTACTGAAATTGAAGCATAACAGCTGTTCATATCTCATTTCTTTTCTGGTGAAAATTCTTCTAGGAGGGTGTGTATGGGGAGAAATCCTTTCCCACTTTGAACCCTTTCTGCCTGGAGTGTTTCTTCTAATACAGTTT